CTAGAAAGAGGAATTTCATTTTGCAAATATATGATCAATTTATACACCATAAAATATGAGATTATTGTTGGCATAGTGCCTGTGATAACAAACCGGTTTTTTACTAACTGATATTGCATAAAATGTAAAATATGTGCAGGCTAGCTTCATTGCTCCAATATTCCAGGATTTGTTGCCATAGCAACTGATTTTATCATTATAACAATCTATGGGACATTGGTCTGCATATAATACCAAGTGGAAATGTTTACCTGTATTTTATCCCTTTTATGTTAATTTGGAAAATAATTATTAAATAAATAAATTTTCATTCTTTTCAGATGCCATTATTTTTGTTTGCAAGCACTGTAATCTTTTTTCTACTGTGAAAGAAGAGTTGATTGAGCATGTTAAAGATGAGCACCAGGTAATCGAAGATGATGTTGATTCTTCTATATCGTCTCTTCAACCACTGCCAGGAAGTATGCCACCTCCAACTGCTAAACTACGCCCAGCCGTGCAGAAGATAGTCACAGTGCCTTTCGGGCGTAGACGTGGACGGCCACGTAAAGTGCCAAAAACTGAAGAACAATTGAAGGAAGAAGCGAGGCTGAAGAATGAAGCACAGGAAAGAGCAGCTGAGGCTAAGAAAAAGGAAGAGGAGATGATGCAACAAGGTGATGGTTTTGCATGTTCAACTTGTAAAAGAAAATTCACTAGGTTACGTCAAATGAAGAGTCATCGCTGTGTGGTTGATGTCTTTGATGATGAACCACCTACGAAAAGAATGCGTGGTCGGCCGGGTCTTGGCACTTCTGATGGCTATGAGAATTCAGATGATACATCCTGCACACAGTTGAACCTTTCTGTTTCAAGTGGTGCAACACAACCGTCCCTTACAGTGTTTGATGGATCGAACCAGGCAGGCATGGATGTGCCACAGGAATACCCTGATGGAAACTCTCTAGAAGAAAATGCTGAGGATGAGAAGAAGGACAAGCGGTCTAGAATGTCCTACCTTGAGAAGTATGTCGTCGGTGAAATTACCGAACACTGCATTCAGCAAACTATCAACCAAGGAGCCGCTATTCCCCACCGAAGTAACACCACAAATCCAGTGCTTAGAGTCTTCACATGTCCGCATTGTAACAAACTTTTCAAGTACAGACACGCCCTGGCTGTACACATTCTCATCCATAAGGACATCAAACCTTTCAAGTGTAATCGCTGCAACTATGCCTCCAATAGCTCTGGCAACCTGAATGTCCATATGCGTAAACATACTGGGGAGAAATTCAGGTGTAGTAAGTGTGATTTCACATGTATCAATAAGGGGCATCTGAAGGTTCATATGGCAAAACATGGCACTGATCGCTACGAGTGTGAATTGTGTGGGAAAAAAGTGCACCATCCAACTGAGCTAGTGAAACACATCAAGTACAAACATGACATTGACAGAGATAACAAGGCCAAGGAGTACTTCGAACGCAAGAAGATGGAGAGTCGCAGTGGAAGGAGAGCTCTATTATACCAATGTAATATCTGTGAGCGAAAGTTCAAGACAAAGCGTGATCATGATATGCACTTGTATTTACACACCAATGAAAAGCCATACAAATGTGAACTATGCGAGTACTCCACTGCTCGGAAGCCATACATGAAAGTGCATGTTAAGAAGCATAGAATAGTTTATAAGTGTTGCTTCTGTAATGAGAGCTTCATCAGCTCACACAGACTGTCTGTTCATCTGCAGGAAAGTCATGGGGATTTACAAGATTTTGATATCAATGATGTGTACAATAAGTCTGTCAACTGTAGTCTTTATTTAGTGGAGCCTGGGGGAAAGAACATTACTGCAGATGAGGCCTCGGCTTTAGCCATCCTACAACAAGAGAATATCGATACATCTGAAGATAATTTAGATTTCACGGCTATGTTTTCTAAAGGTAGCATTTCCAACATTCAGACTGAGCTGGAAGAAAAGAATGACATATCGAGAAGCGAGATGAAGAATCCCTTGCAGGTGCTATGTTAAACCAGCTCAACTATCAAGCATTAAACTTGGAAATTCTTGCCAAATTGCATGAGATTTATGGCACCCTGGAGTGTGAGGAGTGTGGAAAGCTGTTTCTTTCCAAACTGGAGTACGACAAACACAAAGTGATTCACACCGGAGAAAAATCTCACAAGTGTCAACTTTGCGAGTATGCAACCCACCATGCTGATGGGTTGCGGCGCCATATGGAATCTGTTCACAGTGGGATAAAGTACAAGTGTGGTGAATGTGGCCTAGAGACAGCCAGCAAGTACTACCTGAAACAGCATTTAAAGAAGCATTCTGGACCCAAAGAATTCAAGTGTAGCAGTTGTGATTACGTCAATACAAACGAGGTGGAGATGAAGAGCCACATTAGTGACCTTCATCCCGAAATGACTTCTGTTGAACTTGAATTGATTTTAGGGAGGAAGGCAAGGATTCAGGGAAAGCTTGGCAGGAGACCTTACAAGTGTCCGTACTGCAGTAAGCTTTTTGTGCGAGGAAATTCAGACCTCAAGAGGCATATCTGGGCCCACAAGGGTATCAGTCCATTCAAATGTCAGATTTGCGGCCACGGCACTCGTACCAGAAGCAATCTGAAAGCACATATGATCAAGCATTCGGATGCCAAGAATCACCTTTGTGATGAGTGTGGGAAATCCTTCAAAACCAAAAATAGCCTGCAGGTTCACCAGATGGGACACAAGAATGAGAAAAACTACAAGTGTGATTATTGTGATTATACCGCCATCCAACCTGCTCACCTTAAAAGGCATTTAGAGACCCATGGAGGTCTAAAACCATTCAAGTGTACCGTATGCAACAATTATACATGCAACAATAAGGGTACCCTGAGAAGCCATTATAGTAAGAAGCACCCAGGGGAGCCATTCAAAGAGGACCAAATACCTGAGTACATAGATATGGGGGATAACGTTGAGAGACAGCTCGGTGGAATGCCACAATTGCACTCATTGCCAATATGTCTTTGGTAATAAGTGGGACCTGAGAGCACACTTGAAAAAGAAACACAAGATTGATCCAAGTGGTTCTGCAGTGTTAAACGCCGCCATGCAGCAAGTTGTTCCCATTGACATCATCTCTGCCGTTGGTCACTCAAGTACAGTGCAAGACGAAGTGGCTGGGTCAACGCTACAAAATGTGGACCAAGGTCTGCAGTACACTGATCCATCTCAGATTCAAATACAGTCAACAGATCGGAATGCTGTTAACATTTTACAACAGTTGATGGGGATGCAGGACCTGGCTGCTGTCGCTACTGCAGTCGCTGATGGTACGGTCACTTCAGATGCCCCTACATTTACAACTGCGTCAGAGACTCAAACAGCACTGGTGTCCACCTCAGAAGGTCAAACATATGTATCCACACCGGAGGGACAGACTTATGTAGCAATTACTCCAGATGCTCAGGGGTAGGTGTAATTCTTAGTTCTCATAACTGCACGTGGTAGAATGCATGTTTCTATACTGTAGCGGTTGATAATAGCTGAAACATGGAATGTTGGATGAAAAATGTACGTTTAGTATAATATCCTGTGGGTTTTTAATCATGATACATTGCATGTCTAAGAATAAACAACTATGAGATAAGATTGTCTTGTCTCAATTTGGCTTGTTTAACAGTCTCCAATTCTGCTTTGTATGCATATCTGCAAGGAGTTTTAACTGACTGTTTAACACATGGAGTAAATCCTTTATTTACTCAGTGTATAACATTCCTTTATTTACTGGTAATAATAATTTTCATTCTCATTTTCTCTCCTGTACACAGATTCGTGGCAGTTGCTCCAAATTCAGTAGTTGTCCAGCCAACGCCTGATGCTGTCACTGAGCAAGTTGTAGAAGAAACCTCCACTGAAGATAACAAGAATTCCTATGTGCTTCTTGTTACCCAAACCCAGGATGACTAAATAATTCTAATTTAGAATCTTTACACATGTGGTGTAGTGTGGTGTAGTGAAATGTATATCACATTCGAACTGCAATTTATTTATTGATTTGGCCATGTACAAAGTATTGTTTTTCTTTAATATTTCTCTATATTAACATATTGTCATGGTGACGTTGAATACAGTTACAGACCATTTACATGTTTCTGTGTGCTTGAATACATCATCAAGTTCCAACATGTCTGCCATGCATTTTATCCATGGTGGGTCAATTGTAAAGTAAATAAATTTATACTAGTGCAGCAGATACATTACCGGTATTTATAGATGATTTGTGTGCAAATTTGCGTTTTAACAAGCCAAACCAATGTTACCGGTACACACCAAACTGCGGTACACCAATGACTTTTATGAAAATAGCTGGTGTTCACAATTAAATAAATGATAAATACAATGTTTACCAATTTTAAAGTAATGTTTAGATCAAGACCGTTGTGGAAAATAAATCAAACAATATTTTCTAATCTCTTCCACTGATATAAGCATGTACATCGTTTCCATAAATGAAATAAATAACCATTTGTGTGTGTCTGTTGAACATTAGTTGATAGAGAATAATTAGTAAATTTTTTTTTTGTCACAGTATTTGAAAATGAAATATTGACTTATAATAGGTTGGTTTTTGTACATATATATATGAGGTTTTAATATTTTTCTGTTACTGCTGTATAAAACGCTGAATAATATATTCAAACGTCTTCCATTTATAATATAACCAGTTGTCAGTTATATATTTTTTTTACAGTTGTACATAATGGATGGTTCAGTTGCGAAAAGTCATGCATTGTTTATCCTGCTTTTTTCCCTACAAAAACGCATGATTTAAACAGTTAAAGCTGTTCGCCAATGCCATGTATGGACATTTTCAAGGTATGAAAAAATATAAGCGTCTTTTTACATTTTATTTCATATTTTTATTTTTGTTAACATTGGTTTACAAACATTGGTTTAGTGGTAAAAAATACTACCAGTAATGCTAACAACCACTCGGCATAGTCATAAACTGTGGTTACAGCGAGTGTAAAGTAATATTTCACTGATAAGCACTGAGCAATGTTCGTTTTGAGATTCTGTTTACTTGCAAATTTGGTTTAAAAAATCAGCACAAGTTTACCAATCTAACTTGGTCACATAGTTCATTTCAATGAGCTTCTTTGGCCTCCCCATTTCTGGTTTTACTGAACCTTTTTATACACAACTATCCCAAATTCTTACGAGAAATCTTATCGGCGATGTGCTGTACCACTTTTCAGGCAATGTAACCACTTGTCACCCCTGTATTTACTAAAGTCATTCACTAGAAGAGAACTAGCATCTCCACTGACTTGTTTGCCAAAATGATATTTTCTCCCAGGCTAATCCACCTGCATTTCTATGATCGGGTTTTAGTTTGCACTGATTGATTTTGTGGGAAATAACAATGCTAGCTTCAGGTAATGTGGGCATCAATAACAATTTAGTCTGAATACAGAAACATTATTACGTACGCTATTGTAAACATGCTCAGTGCTTACGAAAGAAACAATCATAATATTACTTTACACTCAGTGTAACCATGTGTTGCCCGTATTAATTAAGGTTATACAGTTCTTGGCATAGAACTTAGTGTTAGAATGTTGGTTGAGTTTGAGCATGGTTTAGAGTGTAAATTAATGGGTAGAATTTAATAACAAAAATATTTAAATGAAATCAATTTATATATTATTATTCTGCACTGACATTGCAGTGTTCTTGGCACATGTTTATAAATGTAATGACAGCATTTGATATTTGAGCTGTAATCGATTTCAGTACTCATGCGCACATCAATGCATACCTGCGAGAGACGCAGATGGAGGCTGAAAAGGCTTTTTGGGAGTTTTGTGTGGAATTTATTTTCATTGATTTTTGATGAGTTTAATGTGAAATATAGGAAAAAAAGTATATTCGCTGGATTCTATTTTCACGGAAACATCCCTTCAGCGAAAATAAAGTATTCTACAGTATATCGTATTTGCTCTATTAGATGCACATCTTCAATAGAAGAAAACGTAAATCAAATATTTTATTTATTGTATGCCGTTTTTTTTTATAACATGAATTGTTCTGAACATAAACCATTTACATAAGTGCTTACTCCACTAATAGAGCAAATACAGTATGTACACTTGTTATTGTATTTCTATTTGTCAACATATAAAACCTTCAAAAACACTTCTTGTATCGGGATGAATACATTTCTAATTAAATGCACAGGAAGTTTGGAATTGTTTCTCTTGTATGTATCAGCTGCTTACCAGAAGAAGTGGGAGGGTCGTCACCTGTACAATCACGGGAATTGATTCCCAAGCGAAGATAACGCGCACTAAAAACGCAAATGCCTGTGGATAGCTTGTTTGTAAACAATGACACTCTATGGCCATCTGACGCATGCGCATGTGACAACCCCCCTGCTTTAAGTGAACACTTTTTGTTATAACTGGGGCAGTTGGATTTGGGTCTGTGTTGTACTTGTTGAAGGCAATAAACAGTGCTTTACATATGAATGCAGTAGTGTAATTTAGTCCAATGTCATAAGGTCTAAAAACAATATACCGGTATTCATGTTTCTGGCCATCATGTATAGTTTTAAAAGAAGAGGGGAAAATACACACTTATAAAAAAATTCGAAATGAAGGCACAATTTCTATGACAATTTATAAATGAAAAACTATATTCTATTGGCAGTTTGTCATTTAAAGCCAGTTGACTTTCAATTCAATTGTATATCTATAAAACAAAACCTAGTTCAGTATCAGTGTCAAGAGTTCTGTATTGGTGACTACTTAACTCATTTCCTGTGTGTTTACTTATGAATAGGGTGCACTTATTTGGCTGGTTTCTTGCATCTTACTACAAAACACAGTTTAATGCAGGAAAAAAAGTTGCTTTGAACGCAGAATATTTGCAAAGATTAGTCTCGAACTATTAAAAAAGAATTCAAAATTGGACATAGGTGGCGCTGCTCCTTTCGCATGATTAATCTTAACAAATTATATTTGGTAAATTTTTTTTCTTCAAAATACAGAACTGTAATAAAAAATAATGTTACCAGTGTGTAATAACAAATGAAATAAAAAACTGGCATAACACGCACGGCTTTCACAATAATTATGAGTGGGCTTCAATCTTAATAGTAAAATACACCCAAGCAACAACTCGACTTCTACCGTATTTATATGCCCGTACATCAAATCGTGTTTATAGTTCCAAGATCAAATATACTGAAAACCTGACTATGCCCGCATATTCTTGTTTTTGTCGATTTTTCAAATTCCAAAAATTATTTCAACGCATTTTAAACCAAATCTCTGGTGACTATGATGGACATAATTATGACAACCACATGATCCTCGTCCCTAAAGACAAGCACAATAACACGTGGATCGAAATTACGAAAGTGTGTTTTTTTTTGGGGGGGGGGGCTATTTCCACGCTTAATTATGTGCTATACATATCGTGAAGAAGACCACAATGTAATTTTCAAAAAAACAAAAACTGTATGCATGTTTTGTTGACCTGCGACGGCTTTTGACAGTGTCTGGCACGGAAGCCTATGTATGAAACTATTAAAATATGGTATTAGGGACAACATAAACACAATCATGATTTATTATGTGTTGATAGTGGTTTAATTGAATAATTGAAATCCCACTTAGCCGTAATACAGAGATGTAATTTTTGAGTTCAACATTATTCAATATATTCATCTATCACCTTCCTTCTATTCTCGATCCAAATATATACATGCCTTCCAAATTGATAGACAATTAGGTCAGTTGTCTCATGTATGCAGATGACCATGTTATTCATTCTGAAACAACATCTGACATACAAACAGTTCAGAAAGTCTCTCACAAAACAGATAAAGCTCTCGGTAAACACATATAGAAACAAAATAATGATATTTATCAAGTCAAACAGGTTACTAACCAACCACATTTTCTTTTTCTAAGAAACAGAGTTAAATGCTGTTAGGTGTGGTACTGAGCACAAATAGAAAATTCAAAGAGGCAATGACAAATTTTAAGGAAAAAGACCAAAATCTATTATTTGCACCAAAAGAAAAAATGGCCATGAACAAAATATACGAATTACAACTTTACCCTATTTGAAAAACTCATTCGCCCAATTTTAACACAGGATTATTAAGTATGGGCCATGAGAGTGCCTACAAAACAACTGTAGATGCACCTCAACTATTGTCGGTTCCTTCTAAGAGAGTGAAAAATACACCAATAATGGGTATCTATAAGGAGCTAGGCAGATATCCACTAGAGATTTTCATTAAAAGACAACTAATCAAATATTTTAACTGCGTATTAAGTATTGATAACTTCAAAGAGAAGCTGCGTTAATAAACAAACAGATTGACATCAAATGGTACAATCACAAACACCAACCAAGCTCACATTCTTACAAATGCACAAATAATAAAAATACCTTACCAAACTAAAAAACATTGAATTACGTGAACAATTAAGCAGATTTGAAAATGACGTCACTGTAGCAGAACTTCCCTCGGAAAGTGGAACTGCTAAAACTCCAGGAAATGGTCGTCTGACACTACTAGTATATTAGTAGTTTGCACATTTATCTGTGGGGAGTACCGA